TTTAATGGTATCTAGTATTTCCCGTATAGTATTCTCATTTGGGGGAGGGCAATTTCCTCAGGCTTCATGGTGCATTTTTCTAGTCCAGCAATTCTGCCTTCTACATCTGATACTCAATTTTCTGTATGATCTAGTCTGCTTCTTAACATTTTCAAGGAAGGTTTTGACTTTCTGTATTATTGCCTTCATCTCTAACAGCTCCATTTGATTCTTTTTTTGGTGTGCGTTTTCTCTTTCAAATTATGCAAGAACTTCCCCACATCTAGGAACTTGTCATCTCTTTCTTTTCTCCTGCTTCTTCTAGAGTTCATTGCCTCTCTTCTCTTGCATCTCTGTTAGCTTTATCACTATGAATATTCTAAATTCTTTTTTATAAAAGATTATTTATTTAATTTATTTACTCATTTATGTATTTAAATTTGACCAGAGAGAGAGAGACACAGAGAGAGTGAATGGAAAGAAAAGTGAGAAAGCAAGCCACTAGATCCAGTACTTGAACTTCGGTTGGCCATGTGGGAGTGTCCAGGGCCTTAACCACCACGTCACCTTCTGGTTCCATAATATTCTAAATTCTTTTTTTTTTTTTTTTGGAGAGGTTTTTGCTATAGGGCGTGTGCGCTCGCCAGACAGAGAGAGAGAGAGAGACATAGAAACAGAAAGCAAGAAATCACCCCCCAGGGGGGATAGTCACGCTGCAATCCCTTCTCCTCCATTCTCCTCTCGGGATCCTGTGCACGCACGCACACGCACCCGGCGTGAGTTTTAAGCCACCGGGTCCGGGACACGAACCGCGGTCGACTAGGTGGGAGTCTAGTGACACAGCCATTACGCTAACTGCTGGTTCCCAATATTCTAAATTCTTTATCAGACATTTCTACGAGTTCTATTGTATTGTCAGTAGATGAAGAGGACTTATTTTTTTTCCCTTGGGGGAGGGGTATTTTCTTGATTTTTCATATTTCTTTTGCCTCTGCAGTGATTTCTAGTCATCTGATGGATTATACATTTCTTATTTATTTCTGGAAACTCAATCTGAGCATTCAAAGGTGTGCAGAAGGAGATGATCTGCAATCTCTTTTCCATTCTATTTTTCTCCCTTTGTACATCAGATTCAGTGGGAATTGAGGAATATGTTGACCCTAGTAGTATTTGGATGGGGTCTGGAGAATGAATTCTCAGCAGAAAATCTTCATTTCTCTTATTCCCTGAAAGCACTAGTTCTCAGCTCCAATGAAGAAGCCAGTGAGCTCAAGTTTCTTTATCTATAAAATGAGCAATGGACCAACTCAGAGATAAAAAAAATTGTAGATCAAATTATATCCTCAAATGTGTTATCTTTGGCCCATATAGTTTTTTAAAATGCTCTTAAGGGTTGCCAGCATTAAAGAAAAGATTTTACATGATAATTCAGATTTCTATCCTCTCTAGAAGGTGACTTGCATGACCTGGCAAGTCAGGGTCATAGTCCCCCATGTCAATTATTAGCTGGAGCTGAGTAGCAACTGGCCCCTTCAGAGGGGACATGAGCCTTCCAGTTGCCACCATCCTTTACGGCCCACACCTATAGGACCTATCTGGTGTCTATAGATATATGAACTAGATAGTATCTCTGGACACCTTTATTTCTAAATTCTAATTTATACCATACAGCTTCCTTGTGGGAAGCTACAGTCAGACCATATCTCATTAACTATCCTTTTAAGACTAATTGAGTAACCTTCAAAATAGAAGGACCTTGAGCAGAAAGAGCGGGTAGGAATCTAATGGTTTTAGGAATAACTACCAGGCCCAGGGAGACAGAGAACAGAGTTCAAAATGCTTTCAATTTACTCTTTTTCATTAGAAGAGTTAACTCTCCTATCCTAGAACCAGAATTAATCTGGAAGTGAGAGATAAAGAAGCTGAATTCATTCATTCTGGATCAGCCTCGGTCCTCTCCTTATGTCATCTTATTCTTGAGCAGCAGACTGGTAACCTCAAGATACATGGGCTGAGAAGGTCGAGAAGATTCTCAACTGTGGGCTGAAGTTGCTCACAGCCTCTGAATTCTCTACTATGTGACTTGTTGCCATGAACACAGAACATAGTTGAGGGATTTGAAGCAGGGAAGTACCCTGAGAGAACAACTAACTCACTCCACTCATTCAACAGAGGGCAAAACCAAGGGTTAAGAAGTGGGAGTGACTTGCAAGTCAATGGCACACAGAAGAACTCTGGTCCTTCTTAGGGAATGTTGCCTCCCATCATCCAATGTCCTGACTCCAGGGTTGAGTCTGGACTTCAGCCCTCAATGGCCAACAAGAGCATGACACTACAGCTACATGGCCCAGATGCCACTGGAACTCACCTTCGTTCTCAGTTTCCACTTCTGACTTTTCACGCGTATGCGTTTCCCATCATCTACCATCTTAGGAACTGGGACAGAGAGTCTGTTGGCATAACTGGGATCTATCCCCCTTGTGTAGGACCCCTGGATGGGGGGAATAAAAAAAAATGGTTACTCTTGGTTCCTACTCTCTAGGAGGAAGGAAAAAACTAACTCTTGACAAAACTGAAAAATGAGTAAGCCCTGGGGAACCAGCAGTTAGCGTAATGGCTATGTCACTGGACTCCCACGTAGTCGACCGCGGTTCGTGTCCCAGACCCGGTGGCTTAAAACTCACGCCGGGCGCGTGTGCGTGCATGCCCAAGATCCCGAGAGGAGAATGGAGGAGAAGGGATTGTGGCGTGACCATCCCCCCTGGGGGGTGATTTCTCACTTTCTGTCTCTATGTCTCTGTCTGTCTGGCGAGCGCACGCGCCCTACAGTGAAAATCTCTCCAAAAAAAAAAAATGAGTCAAGAAGGAAGGCCAAGCCCCAACCAGTTATGCCAACTGTGAGTGAAGATTGAACCAAAGAGGATAATGAATGGCTAGAGGGAAACCAGCAAGAGATGGGCAGCAGCTTGCAGACTCTGGCCTGCTTCGTCATGCCTGCTTCTTCTCATCCTCTGTCCTCTATCTCTGTTAGGCTAAAAATCCAAGCTATCCAGAGTCTATGGTTTAAGGTTAGACTTCAGGTGAGAAATCAGGAAGTTCAAATTCTGGACATAATACTATCAAGGGGGAAATTATATTGTAGCTTAAAAATACATTTCCTGGCCTTGTAAGTGTCTGTGCATCATACTAGGCTGATCCAGAAACATCTCAAGGCTTTCTTACTATGTAAGCTGCAATATAACTCTTTACAGGGTATGGAATGAGGGGCAGTTGGTGGGGCAGGTGGAGGAATTGGTTGCTCTGTAAGGTTTTGGAAAGGCTTTGCCTCTCTGTTCCTGCTTAGGTATGCTGACAATGGAGAAGTCAGTGGTGATCAACAGCAAATTCACACCAAGAGGAAGTGGACACTGAAACCTAAGATGCAGCAAACAGAGCACAAATGGCCTCAATAGGAGAACAAGGCTGGTCTCCCGACATTCCCTCCCCAGACAGGAAGTACCTGCAGCAGGGAAACCTGATTCTGAATGAAACTATTCATCGACAAGTCCATCTTGACCTGGTGAGCCAGGGCCGCCCAGTGCTGGCTCACAGATGCACACTTATTCAGGGTGTTTTTATCCAGCAATCCTGGGAAAAGAAACAAAAGAGATGGGCCCAGAAACCCCAGAAATGGGCCGAGTTGGGAGGTCTCTGAGCAATCCCCTAAAGACCCCAGCATACTTAGAATGTACTTGGAGAGGTGGATGGGCAGGTAACGGATAAAGTCCCGGTACTTGCTGAACCCAGAAGACAGGTCTCTGACTTCATCCAGGTCAGCCAACAGATTGCAGGGATCGTGTCCAGGCTTGAATCTGTTCACTTTGCTGGAAAACAGCCTGTTCATCTCTGAAATACACTGAAGCGAACTCCTCCATTGTCCCTCTAGAGTGAAGCCAGAGAAAGGTACATGGTTGAGTGGCCTGTGGTACCTCTAGGCCAAGAACAATTCCTCACCCAAAGCTCCCCCCATGGAAATAAAGCTTATCAAAGTGTACCCTTGCGCTGGTGGATTTAGCACATCTCTTCTGCCACCTGAAAAACAGAACCTCTTGACCTCAAACATATAAGGAAACTTTAAAAAGTTGACAGAATAAAATTAAAACAAAAGTTTATATGGGTGCAAAAAAGTTTAAATGCATGCTCAGTTTTTTTCATAATACTCATTTTCCCATCACTTTTTGACAAACCCTCAGGCTTTTCAGCCTTCTCATCAGAAGTTTATCATATTGGGGCCAGCATGTGGTGTGGAGGTTAAAGGCACTGGACTCCCACATGGCCGACAGAGATTCGAGTCCCGGACCTGGTGGCTTGCTTTTGCCTTCTCACTTTCTCTCTCTCTCTCTCTCTCTCTCTCTTTCTCTCTCTGTCCCTTTCTGGTCAAATTTAAAAATAAATAAATAAATAGAGCTAAATAAAATAATTCTTTATAAAATAAAAAAAAGTTTATGGGGGTCATGGCTGACCATGGTTTGAGTCCTGGACCTGGGGGCTTGCTTTTGCTTTCTCACTTTCTCCCTCTCTCTCTCTCTCTCTGTCCCTCTCTGGTCAAATTTTAAAAATAAATAAAGTTAGATAAAATAATTATTTAAAAAAATAAAAAGAAGAGTACTAATTATTAATGCCTCTTATTGGTTAGGTGACAACTGGCTCTAGGAATCACAAATGGCGACTCTCTTAATAATGACTAATGTCTGGGGCCAGCAGGTGGCATGGTGGTTAAGGCTCTCTCTCTCTCTCTCTCTCTCTCTCACACACACACACACACACACACACACGCACACTGTCCCTCTCTGGTCAAATTTAAATAAATAAATAAATAGTTAAATAAAATAATTCTTTTGAAAAATAATTTAAAAAATAAAAAGAAGTTTATTATATCAAGGTCTGGCATTGTGTTGGGAATTGGGAATTTCTTTGAAAATACCCCAACTGGAAAGCAATTTTAAACAATTTAAAAAGAGAAAGATGACCAAAATAAGATTGGTAAAATGTTGATGATTATTGAAGTTGGGTGATAGCTGTATGAGTGGTTATTATCGTGCTCTATGTACTTTGGAAATTTGAAAATTTTTATATAAAAAGAATTCTAGAATCCAAGCTTTGTATTTCCTATGGTTATTTCATGTACATTTCTTACTCTAAAAACCAACTTATTATACATGAAGATTTAAATGAGAAAAAAAAAAAGTGGGGGCTTTGAGAACAGAAACCAAATTCCCTACAGCTTTCATTTCCTCCTCAAGACTGAATCCAATACTGCCGAAGCAGCCATGAAGGGCTGAGTTCTAGAGGTGCCCGTCATGCCAGAGCTTGGGAGTAGGAGACAGCTTGTAGCCGGGGGGTGGAGGGAGACCTCAAGGAAACTTGCAGTTTTCTTTCTAATTTCTATTTTTAGGTAACTTTTGGAGGCAACATGGTGGAAAGATAAAAACATAGGCTTTGGAATCATACTGAACATTTTTTTAAAGAATTATTTATTTCATTTTATTTATTCATTCACTTATTTTAATTTGACCAAAGATAGACATAGAAAGAGAGAAAGAAAATGAGAAAACAAGCCACCAGGTCCAGGACTCGAACCGTGGTCGGCCATGTGGGAATGTCCAGCGCCTTAACCACCATGTCACCTGCTGGTCCTCATACTGAACATTCACATTTAAGTTTGTTTGTTTGTTTGTATAATGCCATGTGCATGCATGAGACAGAGAGCGAAACAGACAGCATGCCCCCAATGGAGTGTAGTCACACTGCTATCCTTTTTCCTCTAATTCTCCACCCCATGAGGAACCTAAGCATGCAAGCATATACCAGACATGTTTTCAAGCAGTGGATGGTGGGACTCAAAACCTAGTTGGCCATATGGGATTCAGGTTGCTCTGCCTCTCGCTTACTTGTTCAATAGGCCTGGCCCTGTGTTTCTTTCATGAGAGAGGTACCCTTGACAGGGTCCCTCTACTCTGTGATATTCCTCCCCCAACCCTGGCTCCCAGCCTTCCAGTCAGCCAGGATCAACGGCACCCAGTGTGTTCAGGTCAACCTGGGATCTGAACCCAGGGATTCCCACGTGGTTCTACCTTCACATCTACCGCCTGTGCCACCATGGCTGGGCTGCTGACCAATTTAGTCCTTGCTTCTCCCCTTACCAGCTTTAAGGATTAAATGAGCCCAACACATCGGAGCTGCTGAAAGAATGTTTGTTTCTAGAACTTTCCAGCTCCAGATGCTATTATCCTACCAACCCCTCTATCTCCATGAGGCTTCCCAGTCTCGTCCTCATTTGCACTGACTTTCTTGCTAAAAACTGACTTACCAGTATTAGATACTTTTCCATGTGTACTTTCAAGCAAATTGTCATGTACTGAGGATTTGGACAAAGGGAAGGATGGTTGCTGGGTTCTGGCTGCCCAATAGACGTGCGAAGTCTCCAACTTGGGGTCGTGATGTTTCTCTGGGGAAAAAAACACATCTGTGGAGTCTTGATCCAGCCCTGAAGAACAAAAGACCAGGACAAAGTTACTTTTTAAGCCAGTGCATGGAGAAAAATGAGGTGGAGGGAAACTTTTATTTTCCCTTGCTTCTTTTAAACATACACAAAACAGATCAGGGCAGTTTTATCTCTTTCTATTTGAGACCTCTGAGTTTCTATGCAAAAATCTCAACCCCTCCCCCCTTTAGAATGTGCCAGCCCACCTACAGTGCAAAATTTATCAGCACTCTATGTACAGAGAGTCAGAGCACTGTGGGCAGAAGCCATAAGAGGAACTGACTGCTTTCCTGAATCTCCTGCTATATTTTCTTCAATTATATGAATAACTGCCCTTGAGGGAAATCATGAAATTTCACTGTTTTTCCAACTGCTAGAGAGAGAGAGAGAGAAAGAGATAGGAAAAGCATCCCCCAAAGGGGCTTGGTTATACCACAATCCTTTCTCCATTTCTCCATCCTGTTGGGATTTTGGGTACACACACATGACTGGTATGTTTTTTCCTCTCCTCCCCCCAATTTTATAGCTCTTTTTTTTAAAAAGAATTATTTATTTAATTATTATCATTATTTTTCAAGTTGACCAGAGAGAGAGACAGAGAGAAAGTAAGAAAGGAAGCTGCCAAGTCCAGGACTTGAACTGTGTTTGACTATGTGGGAGTCCAGCGTCCTTAACCACCACGCCACCTGCCAGCCCCAACCTGCTATGTTTTGCAGGCCTCTGGGTCCAGGATTTGGATTGCATGGTCAGCTATGTGGGATATGACTCCCTTAACCACTATGCTACTAAATCAGCCCATAAAGTTTAACTTTAAAAAGAAAAAATTGCCAGAGAGACCATACACTCGCCAGAGAGAGACAGAGAGACAGAGACAGAGAAAGAGAGAAAAACTGAGACAGCACCCCCTCCATGGGGCATGGTCACACCACAATCCTGTCCTCATTTCTTCCTCCTGTCAGAGTTTTGGGCATGCGTACACACACACTTGGCCAGTGTGTTTCTCAAGCTGTCAAGTCCAGGACTCCAACCATGCCGTCAACCATATGGGATCCAGCCACCTTAACCACCAGGCCGTGGACTGGCGCAATTTAATTTTTTAAGAGAGAATCTTCCCTGGACAAAGTGAAAGTTACCACAACTTATCATTGGATTTATACAAACTCCAATATAGAGAGTCAATTTGCATAGTGTGTGATGAAGGTTTTGATGAAGAACCATAAAGCTCCCAATGTCTGTGTCCCAGTCAGGCCTCCCCAAGGATAAAACACTGCACAGCGGGAGATGCTCAGGATGGGGGACTGGCTTTCATTTTTTTTTTTTTTAAAGTTATTATCATAGGATGCATGTGCTTGCTGGAGAGGAGAGAGACAGTGAGAAATCATCCCTCCCAGCGAGGATGGCCACACTGTAATCCTTTCTCCTCCATTCTCCTCCTGGGATTTTGGGCATGCATGCACACGCACCCAGTGTGATTTTCAAGGCCCAAGGTCCAGGACTCAAACTGCAGTCAACCATTTAGAGTCCAGTGCTATAACCACTACACTACCTGCTGGCTCTAGGAATGTGGTTTTTAACTCACTAGCTGGGTGACCTTAGCCAAGTCTCTCAGACTCTCCGGATTTTGCTTTCCTTATCTATAAAATTAAGGGATCAGACTGGTTGATCTTTAATTTAATTTGTAGTTTCAATACCCTGGGTTTTTTAATTTTTCAACACTTCTTCATGCAATTATTCTCTTTTTTTTATCAAAGGAATTACTTATTTAATTTTATTGATTTATTTTTAACTTGACCAGATAGAGAAAGGGAAAGTGAGAAAGCAAACTGCCAGGTCTGGAACTCGAACTGCTGTCAGCCATGTAGGAGTCCAGTCCCCTAAACACCATGCCACCTGCCCACCCCTTCGTTCTATATTTTTCTTCTTTGTATCCCTGACACACCAAAGAAATCAACTAACATATATTGTGAACCAATTGCTCCTAAGTCATCTATCTTGAAAATTCTTTCGGGGGCCAGCAGATAGTGTATTGATTTCATCACTGGACTCCCACATGGCCAGCCACAGTTCAAGTCCCAGACCTGGTGGCATATGAGCACATGTGCCCAGGATCTCAGGAGGAGAAGTGATTGTGGCATGGCCATCTCCCTCGTCTCTGTCTCTTTCTCTGTCCAGTGAGTCCACACGTTCTAAAAAAAAGAAAGAATGTTCTTTTGGGACCAGCAGCTGGTGTGGTGCTTAAGGGTGCTGGACTCCCACATGTCCAACCACGGTTCAAGTCCCACACCTGACAGCTTGCTTTCTCACTTTTCCTCTCTCTCAGTCTGCCCCTCTCTGGTCAAATTAAAATAAATAAAGTTAAATAAAATAATTATTAAAAAAATTTTTAAATTCTT